TTTGATAAGATCTCGTATGCCTCGTTCTGCATGGGTTTTGCATGGTTAATCCTATTTTGTACGTTCACTCGCATCGTAGCAGAACCAGGCGATTGATGTTGCGCATAGGAGAGCTCCTATAGTCCTCCTTGCCGCTACATAGGAGAGCTTAGCTATAGTCAGTTTCATCATCGGTATCACGAGGAGTTGATGTCTGTGAAGGATAGCATCATGTGCCTAGACTACACGCACAGAGCCCTCTCAATAGCGCCAAGGGCTCCTGATTGCGTGACACTGCTTACAAGAATGAATCAGTTGTGTACAAAAAATAGCGAAACCATGCATGGAGCTTATGTGCACGCATAGCAATCATGGTAATATGCAAGGAAACCTTTTCATAATTTTTAGTTTTGATCTTTGATTTTTTTTGCTCTCATTATTTTCAGCATTAGGATCAAAACAAAAGTGCTTTACAATCGCAGAATAGCTCCAGAGGCCGATCGCGCTAAGGAGACCTTGAAAGTGTAGAGATTTTTTGATTTGATTGGCTGTAAATGACTGTTGTTACTGTGCCATGTGATTATATTTCAAGAGGATGGTGTGTTCATGGTGTTTTTTCGGCCTGTTCGGACTATTTGTGATCCAACTTCTGTGGTTTTACTATCCAGTTTCATATGCTATGCTCTTTCTACTTTTCTGCGACTTTTCCTTGTTAACTTTATAATTGGTATTCTGTCGATTGGATTGTTCCCATAACATCGCAAAACAGTCTGAGAGAAAGAATACGGGAATCTCAAGCCTCGAACGGTAAACTTGAGTATTTATAGCGGATCGGCTACGCTCGGACCTTCATTTCTTTTTCGGGTGCGGATTACGAAGCATCAAGTTCTACAGTGGAAGTAATGCATACGATCTGCTTAGTTTAGCTAATAGTGAACTATAAATATTCCGATAATGTCGGCTGACAGCCTTGAGCCCGGCGTAGCATGAAGCTACGACTGGATGATGTGGATGCAGCAGATCTTCGTTCGAAAATCATTATTTTCAAGTTGAGCAAATGACAATTATGTACAGCATAAGAAGCAATCATCGTTTCCATACTCGGAGTTCAGGCAAAGTGAATATAGAAGCAGTATGAGGTAAAAGATGAATATTTCGAGGTAGACCGGCAAAATATGGATGCAACATGGCAGAACATGCCGAGATTCGATCGTCGGGTTTGAGCTGAAATGCGAACTGTACTGAAGAAGTGTTGCCCAAAAGATCTTACCTCCAAAAACATGCAAAGCAGATCAATTCCAGTTTTTTGTAACTTTGCAAGTGAAATATTTACTTGCATGAAAGGAATTTCCCTGTATGGAGGAAAGGCATTCGGTACATAGTGGGGCAGGCTCTTCACCTGAACATCATTTGACTTTTACAGAAATGATGTTGATGGTATCTTCAACCTAATGGATTGTTGGGTTGCGATAAGCGATGTTCGGAAAAATCCACTTTTTAGTTACTCGCACGCGGCAAGATGAGTTTCATGCGCGAATGGATCAAAATGGTCTATACACAGTTGAGTACTATCAAGCATATGCTAACGATCACTGTCATACCTGGGGCCATTTTTCTTCGTCAGGTACTCCACGGACTGAGAAGATCTTATCCAATTGGTCTATGGCATCCTTCGTGCCA